TTCAGGCCGGGCAGTCCCCGGAAGTCCGGCAGCCTCCCCAGGCTGTTGTGGGACAGGAGCAGCTGCTGGAGTTTGGGCAGCGGTGCGCTGGCCTCCAGGGCTTCCAGGCTGTTGTTGGACAGGTCCAGCGCACTCAGCTGCTGCAGGTGCTGGAAGGAAGCCATGGCCACCCGGGCCCGGGAGTTGGAGCCAAGCAGCAGGATCCCCGTGTCCTTGGGCAGCCCGGCGGGGATGCTGGGCAGCCCCCTGCCCACGCAGCTCACCTGGAGCAGATCCTTGATCTTGTTCATCTCGGATTCGCAGTGCTCGGCGGGGGTGGGGAGCACGGCTGCTGCCGCAGCAACAGGGAGAGCCAGGAGGAGGGGGGCCAGCAGCATCTGTGGGAAGTGTGTTTGGGGCCTGCTGGGGGGGAAGGAAAATGGGGCCGCTCACACCAACCAGGGGCTCCCATGTTCCTCCCGGGGCCAAAGGGCGCACAGACAGATGGCAGCCCTGAAGCCTAATCCCAAGTCCAGCCAGTGGGCTGGGTGGGGGGGGGTGAGGGCAGCTTTCCTTCTGGGGCAGAAGGTGAAGCATTGCTGGGTGGGGGGAAGGATGCAGAAAAGCTGGAACAGCACAGGCAATGCTGCTGCGAAGTTGCATCCCGGCACGTGAGCATCGTGGCTTTTTATGCCGAAAAAGGAGAAGTGCGATAGAGGAGGTTTGTAGGTCTAAAGGCCAGTGGGTGGGAGCCTTTGGTCCCTTAGAGGAAGATGGGCTCCTGGCAGTATCTGGCAAGGAAGTCCGCCCCCCGGCAGGCCTTTGCTCCCACCAGATGTGGCAACAGCTGTGGCTTTGTGATAACACGCGATGAGACCAAGGAGAGGAAACGGAGGCTCCCCTCCACCCTCCACAATTCCCATTTCAAGTGGTCCCTAGCTTTTCTGTGCCCTGACACACACACACGCACACACACACACATTTGAGTCCTCTGAGGGGGGCACTTATGGGGTTGGCTGTCTTGCCTTCCTTTTGGCCATCTGGCTGGCAGGGTGAGCCACAGCAGGGAGGCTTTTGGCCAGATCCAGTCCGGTCCTTTCCCGTCACAGGGAAGCCAAGAGGTGTGGGGCTTTCGAAAGGTGGGGCAGGGGCGATAATCAAAAAGGAAACTCTTTGGACCAAGAGGGGGTCCGGCCGTGCTCTGCTCCCTTGTGGGCCTGGTGCAGAGACACCCGACCTGACAAACCAAGACCCACAAGGAGGGGGAAAGCCTGCTTCAGACACGGTTCAGAGGATCTGCAGCTTTTATTTCAATGCATTAGGCAGGTGTGCGTACGCGTGTGCGAGCTTGGGAGCCACACAGAGCCTTCCGTCGCAGAGCACCTGAGCAGCTTTGTAGAAATAGCTGCCGGTGGTCCCTGGCTGCCCCCTTCTGCCTGCTTGGCGGTTGGGGCTGGAATCAGGCAGTCCCACAGACTGAGTGGGGGGAGCTCGTTTTGCATCCAGCCAGGGTGACGTGAGGCTGCAAAGGGCCCCTTGCCCTACTAGTCTTCCTGGCCTGAGAAAGGGTCCTCAGGCACCGTATTGAGGTGCCCCATGAAAAAGATAGCAAGAGTACCAGTGGTGAAGAGCAAGATTGCAATCCAGAAGCACAGCTTGTCTATCATCTGCCCAATTAGCACCCAGCTCTCGATCTCCTGTAAGGGGGAGACGTAGCGAAGGGGTCAGGACAGTGGGGAAATGGAGCGGGGGCACCTTCTCCTTGAGTTGGCATCAGCGGACTCACCGCCCCATCAGCACTCTGGTCCTTGGTGCTCTTGGTGATGAAGTTGCAGGCGTCCACGCATTCTTTGATCTCTGGGGCCAGGCTGGATAGGTTCTTGTACAAGATGGTGGTCATCTGCACGTCCAGCCCACCTGGGGGGGAGGATCGGGTGGGAAGAAAGGCTGGTGAAAATCAAGGAAGTGCAAATCCTCTCTCTCTCTCCCTCTCCCTCTCTCCCCCTCACATCCCCCCTGGCTGCAGAGCGCTTCTGGGTCTCTCTTTTTGGGGAATGCCAGTGCTGCCCTGGTCGCTCATTCGTAGGGGGCATTTCTGCCCACCTGGCCTTGCTGCCCTGTTACTCATCCTTCTGCTGTTGGCCATTCTTCCTTGGCAGCTGAGGGGCTTTGCGGAAGCAGGCAATGCAGGAGGCAGCCGGCAGAGATCTTGGGCTGTGGAGCCACGGTTCTATTCATGGCCAGAAAGGGCGGCAGCCTGCAGGGAAGTCGGAGACCCCCGGGCAAGACAGAGGTGGCCTGGGTGACCCCTCCCCCCGCCAAGCGTATGATTTCAAGGGCTTGACCGGGAGCGGGTGCCCTCTCAGGAATGAGAGTCCTATTGCCCGCACCTGCTTTCCTCAGGAGGGCACGGCAGGGCAAGATCAAGTTTGGTTCTTGGCTGAGTTCGCCCTCATCCCCCGGCTGGCAGCCAGGCAGGCGGGAGGAGAGACACCCGGAGGAGTCCCCCCGCTTCTTGTTTACCTGTCCTCCTTCCGCCCACCCTGCCCCCCACCCCCGGGCTGGATCACCGGGCCCCTGGCTCCGAAGCCGCACCGTAATTGGGCGCCCTCTGCAGCCCGTGTCGCTGCCCCTGGTGCTCGAAGAGGACCTCGCTCCGGGCCTTCTTCAAGATGTACTCCTCGGCCTTGACCATAATGGAGAAGGAGCTGCGTCGGCGAGGGCGGGGGGCGTCCTGGGGCTCATCACCTGCGGGTCCTACGGTGGAGCCCAGGTAGCGTGGAAGGATCTTCAGGAAGAGCTGATGGAGAGGAGGAGACCGGAGAGATTGGCACAGGAAGAGGCACCTTCGAGGTCAAGAAGCCCCACACGTCTTCACTCCTCCTCTGTTCCTACCGCCATTACCGCCAAGCCCGACATGCCCATTTTCTGCACAATGGCCCAAACTGCCTTGCAATTAAAATGTATAGGACTGGATTCTCACTACTCCATAGTTACCGACTGCATGCCAGTTGGCTGGGTTTCTCGGCGTGCTTTCTCACGGCTTACCCTACGTGTGAAGTCACCGGAAGGGGAGGTTGGTGTAACTCAAGCTTCTGCTGACGTTCAAGGCTATTTCATGTGTTTATGGATAGATTTATTAGGAACCCGTGCAGTGAGTGGCGTGTTGGGGCTGTGTGCACATGGATTCTGCTGTGCTGAGAACCCGAAATATTTTCCGTGGATGTCAGGAAGGAATACGGATCTAGAAATTAATCGACTGAAGACCAAGGAGGTCGTAGCTGATGGGGAAAATGGCGCGAATGATTGCCAGTTATACCTGGAGGGTGAAAACCAAGAGCAAGTCACTGAGCCTGCCTTCTTGGTGGAACGCCTTTCCTTTCCACATCTCCTGCCTTTCCTTCCCTTCCCTTCCTTCCTTCCTTCCTGCCCCCTGGGAGAGACCGTGTGATGGGGGGGTGCCTGCAGGCCCTGGCGGATTTCGCCTTTCTGCCTTCCTTCTGCTGCCTGGACTTTCTGATGACCTCCCGTGGAGAGGAGATGGCCCCCTTGGGCAAGGTCAGCTAGCCGGACTCAACCTCTGAGGGGCTGCCGTGTTCTACTCTGGCGTGTTGGAATCTGAAGGGGTTGTTGCTCAGGCCTTAGGAAGCGGGACGACCGCGAAGGGTCCCACTGCAGCCCTCAGCACCAACGCGCAAGGTTCAGAGCAGGTGTCTGTGTCTGCACCGGCCTCGTTCTTGGCTCCAGCCGCACCGTGCCGGCCTCATTTTCTGCCCTTGAACAAGTAAGGGACGCCCTCCCTGGCCCCGAGCTTCCTCCTCACGTGTTTGAGGTTCGGGGACATGAGGTGGGTGCTGGGGCTGCGCAGAGAGACATTCAACACCACAACGCAGTTCATGACGATCAGCGTGGCCACCGTCATCACAAAGAGCAGGTACCTGCCATCGGAAGGAGAGGGGTGACAGGATGGGCCGAGCCATTGCCCCGGCCCCACCCGCCAGTGCTGCAGGCCGGCGACCACTCACTTGCCAATGAGGGGGACGCTGAGTGACGTCTCAGGCACCTTCTGGGCAATCAGGAAGAGGAAGACAGTCTGGGCCAGCAGGACCGAGATGCTGACGGTGCACTTCTGCCCTCCAGCTGCCAGGCAGGAATCCCGTTGGCGAGACCTGGCAGGCTGCCCCAGGCCTCCCAGTGCCCTCCACAGGTTGCCCTCCCCTCCCCACCCCCAGCAGCCCTGCCTTGGCCCCTCACCCTGGGCAGGCAGGAAGTAGACCAGGACCACCAGGGAGGAGATGAGGACGCAGGGCACAATGATGTTGATGGTGTAGAAAAGAGGTTTGCGCTGGATGATGAGGAAGTAGTGAATCTCGGAGAAGCCCGGAGCCTCGAGCCCGGGCACGGGGGCCAGGATGAGGCGGGCCGGGCGGTACCGGATGGTCCACTCCCCGTTCTCTGAAACAAGGGCCCACCTGGCGTTCCAGCTGGTCGCTCTGGGCCTGGGCTGCCCAGAGGCCCGGTCGCCAGGCCAGCGCTGGGGAGCCCCAGGCCCCGTTTCCCGGGCCAGCGTGCAAGCCCCCTCCCCAGCTACCTGTGAAAGCCTCTGGATCAATGATGACCTCCTTCACTGGCTCTTGGGTGTTGTCATCAAGTCCGTACTGGAGTTCTACTTCTCTGGCGTTGTGCGTCTTCGACCTGGGGAGGCAGAAGGCAGGGCTGGGGAAGACCAGGCCTCCCCGGGGGTCTACTCCCTCAGCATCCCGTAGCTCGGGAAGGGGACCCGCGTGCCAACCTGCCTCTGCCCCCCGTCAGAGCACCAGGGCCGTCCTGGGCCAGGCTGCCCCCAGAAGCAGCAACTCTTACCCACCGGAAAACGAGGGAGCAGTTTTGCCAGTCGAAAGGGAAGAAGGTGACCTCGATGGGGCAGGAGCTGCGGAAGATGGCGGGGGGCAGCCAATACATGTTCCCCCCGGGGGAGATCAGGACATTGGCAGAATAGGCCACGTCAAAGTTGCCATCAATGCTGGGGGGAGAGGGGAGCGTGAGGAGGAGGAGGAGGAAGAGGAGGAGGAGGAGGAGGAGGAGGACACCCGCCTTCAACAGCCAACCCTCAGCCCCCACTCACTTGTTCTCCAGGACGATGTCCGGCAGCCATACCAGGTCAGATGGGACCCGGAGCTCTTTGTCATACTCCTCGCTGCTAAAGTTCAGCCGATAGTCTACCCATTCCTGGAGCCATGCGGGAAAGAAGGGCAAGATGATGCGCCCGGCAAGGCAGATAACCTGGGAGAACCCAGCGTCCCTCTGCCATGCCCAGGGCTTCCAGCTGGTGGGGTGGGGTGGGGCTGGGGGTGAGGCAGAAATCCACCACTTGGGGGCTGCTCCCAAAGCCTGGCAGGGGCACCTTTTCTGGGAAGGTCTGGTGCCAATGCTGCCTGGATGGGAGGGGTGGAAACGCCCCGCAGCAGGGCAGGGGGACAGTGGTGAGCCGAAGCCTCTGCGGGGAGCCCCAAGAGCGGCTGGCCGTCCAGCACGTGGCAGGCGCAGAGTCCCAGGCCAGTCCTTGCCTGAGTGATCCAGACGTTGGTGGTCAGGGTCTCCTCTTTGGCGTTCT